GTTTTTGCAATATTTCGTGCTGTAATAAAATCGCTTGGAATCCCACGTATTGGTCCTCAAAACCCAGAAAATTGATTGTGCACTATGTGGTAAATGGACATGGGACATAGCGTTAAATTTCAGCTTTCCAGCGATTCTGGTTCCCGAGTTAGCAATTTTCCCCTCTAAAATTTTTCACGGGCCCATACATGAGAACTACGCACATCTGGCTGCTGAATTTGAAATCTTTAAGTTCTAGATGGACGGGAACATCTTTATTAAAATTCTAGCCCCCTAGATTTTCCGGTTGCCGAGTTAGCAATTTTCTCACCAAAATTTCCACATACTCGTGCGCGGAGTTCAGCCGTGCGTAAATGTTGGCACTGCGATCTTGGAGTGGCACTTGGTCGAGGAACCCACTGGCAAAATTTTAGCACTGGAGCTTGCTTGAGTGCCAAGTTGAAATACCCAGACAGGCGTACACACACACACACACACACACACATGTATACATACCTACACATACACGCGCACCATGGGTCGTCACAGGATGTGTTTTTGCACTTGCATATATGCAAAAAGAAAAAAAAAACAGTTAAGCTTGGAGTAACATTATGTGTTGCTTGAATTACGATTATGTCCGGACATCTAGAGATTTGTACTTCGAAACTGCTTTTCAATAGCTTGCAAAATTATTCTTTTGTACTTTTTTTTTAAATTCTAATTCTTAAATTTCTAAAGCTTGAGCGTTCTGATCTTTTTTGGCTGCGTACTATGTTTTTTTTTTTTTAATGAGCGTAATTTACACAAGATCCAACGGTTCATTCATTTATTAGTATCCGTGCATGCACCAATACCAATTTACCATCCAAATGAAGCAATTTTAGAGGCTGTTCCAAACCAATGACTGTTCCAAACCATTCGCTTATGCGAGGGGTAGCGCTATTTGTTATAACCATCAACTTAATAAAATTATTATAAAGAGAAATCAACCAATTCAAATATCATAATAAAGACTGGAAAATTACAAACTGAAGATAACAAAAACAACAACAACAACAACAGCAGCAGCAGCAACAACAGCAATAATAATAATAACAAAAGTAATAATAATAATGATAATAATGATGATAATAGAAAAATGGTTTTTTCCAGATCGTCGGCTAAAGTACGATGACGGAAAAGGGCTTGGCTCTGATATACCAGTGGATAATTTACCAGTTAATATGGCTTTCACATTTGTACTGGAAGAAATTGTGCCTGAAGAAAGTGAAGTAAGCATTAAGTATATAAAGACTTATTTGGTTCATTTGCTTTGTTAGTTTTGTGTCCTCGACCCTCTTCCCCAAACTTCAGTCTTATCCTGGCTTCCTTTCCTCTTTCTCCGTTCTTCTGTACAATCTGCTGAATCTATCCTAAGCTCGAACTTCCGCCCCGTGCCGAGAATTTATTTTGTAAAAGATAATTTTTTAATGGCAATACTTTTCTGGCAAAACTGTCGTTGCCTAATATCCTTAGCGAAGGTTATTCGAACTTAAACTCTGTCTTGATCCACAGCTGATTGGATTGCGGTTTCTTTCCCATCTTTCACGTACTCCTTTTATGGTCTCCGAAATTATTGTCATCTCCAATAGTCATATAAAATCCTATTTCTTAGAAATCAACAGATCCTTTGCACATTCATGCACAATTTTTCATTTTAGAAGCTCCGAAAAGAAATTTGTTTGCAGCGACAATTTGCCTACAACACGCTGGCCGCACATCAAAGCCTGCACTCACTCATTTATCAGCCACAAGTATTCATCGCCGACGGTAATTTCATTCATTTTCATCACTAATTCACCTTTAATCTTTTTTTTTCTGGTATTCGCTTTGTTTAGATGAAAAAAAAAGTATTAAGAGCAGGCCGCGCGCGTCTATATGTGCGTGTGCGTTTATGTATACATGCCAACAATTCAACTTCAGACCTATAAAAGCTTAGAATCTGAAATTTTGGGAACACACTTTTATTAAAACCATAAATCTGGAATCAGCTTGCGTCTCTTTTTGGTTAAAAAACTAAGATCCGAGGTAGAAATCCAACATAAATTTATGAACGAAACTATGCACCGGAAATTTTTAAAGATTTATTTTGTAATAGCAGCGAAATCGAAATTAAGTTCAAATTTCAGTGAACTATGATCTATTACCTCATGCTCAAGCCTAAGCTACTCTTACAATCCAATTACTAGAAAAACGATGAGCTGAAAATTCTGTGAATAATTCGCAAAATTAAATCTTAATCACTATACATCGGATTCCATTGCTCACAACTTCATGCAAAAATCATTTAACTCAAGCATTAGAAAAGCCATCGGTTGGAAATTTTGGTAGTTTAATCCATAAGTTATGCTGGAGCTGTTCTCGTCTTTCGCTATTCTCTGCTATAAAATCTCAAGCCAGGACTGATTTTGCCGCTTGCCAGCTTCTACAGCCCTCTAGCAAACGTCTGATCGAGTCCGGTTTCTGATGCGTGGCACATTTTGTTTTGCTTTATAGACTGGTAGCGATAATTTAAAAAAGAGTGCTAGAAGTAACGGGTGACTGTATTTTAGAACTGAAAGTACTTAAGTCAACAATCTTTTTTTTTCGTTATATTTATTAAAATAAAATTTGTTCAGGAATTTTGGAAGAATTGCCGACCCTGAATGTGCCGCCTTTTCCATGCGATGTGCAGCTACTGAGTGTTCGACCTTTAGCATCTGATGATAGTGTACGGCTGATGGTACTGCACAGGGCTGGCATCGATTGCAGAAGCCTCAACGCTCCAACATGCATTGCAACCGAACTTGATGTAAGCTTTTTTATCAGGACTGTTCCACTAGTGTAACTAGGAAATTGGGCCCGAAAAAAGAGTAAACTAGCAGGAAAAATCGAAGTGAAAAATGCATTTTTTGCACCTGTTTTTTGAGAAATATTTTGCGAAAACATCTTTCTGTTCTTTTAGGACATTTTATACGTCTTTTAATATTAAACCAGTCAGAGAAGTAGACAGGTTTCAATACATTTCATATTTGGCTACTTTACTGCAAATTCTGACTAATACTACAAGTAGTTTTTTTATTTTCGGTTGTATAACTGGCGGACATGGCGCAACGGATTACAAAAAAACCTTCAAAATTCCAAATCTTCAGCGATTCGTTTATTCGTTTCAGCCGCTAAATGATGCGCCGCATGCCTGGAAATCAGTTGTGCCATCACTTTGCTTCTAAGTGCTAAACAGTCTGACGCTCTAAGCAATCTGTGGAGCTGTCGGTGGTACAGCCAGCAAGTTTCTGTTAGCACTTGCTGCTCGTGGGATATTATCTAATAAGTGTGCCTCATAAAAAATGAATACTAAGAAGTTTGAATTTTGATTATATTAAATGTAAAATATGATCACTCTGTCATGGTATGCAATAAGTTGGATTGAGTCAATTTTAGTCCCTTCAGCGCTCCTTTCCATGAAAAATTAGCTTTCCATTATCGATTTAGGCATGTGTTTCTCGCATTATGAGATGCAGTAACAATACGGATGCTAAAAACTGCGGCTACTACAAGATGAAAAATTTCAGAATGCGATAAAGAAATATTTGCGATCAATTGGTGTCTCAAAAATACAAAAAACTTTGCTCAATGGTGTGCAAAAAATCGGTAAGGAAATCGACTATTACCAGGAAAAATTTTCACTGAAACCAATGGATTTTGCTGCATACCTCGTACGATTCAGTTAATGATTCAAACATTCCCGATTCAGCATCTCTAACAAGAAAACAGTTTTTTCCCTTGAAACACGTAATTTTATCAAATTACTGCAATGTTAAGCAATTAATTTCCATTTTTTGTTTGGACTATGAAAATCTTTTTTTTTGGCAATGTTATTTTGCGCTGTGCTAATATCGGTCGTGTGAAGGAAACAAATTTTGCTGTTTTGTCCTTACGAGGCATCAAAACTATTCGGGCGGAGAAATTCAGTGTTTAAGTATTTAGTTAAGTTTTCAAACAAGTAGAAGTTCACTATGTTTTAAAATAATTTTTGTAAACATTCGCTATCCCAGGCAAAAATTTTCCACATTTTATTTCGTTTGCGCGTTGCTCTGATGACGATTTTCACGTCAAGTTTTTTCATTTTTCAATTTTTCCTTTTTTTTCAGCTATTGCGAGTTTTATTCATGCTTTACAAGCCTAAGCGTAATTTTGTTGTTCAC